ATTGACAGTTGTTGTTAAACTTTGCTACAGTTTGACATTTTTTAGGCAGAGACAGGGCTGACCTCAACTTTATGGTCCTCTGGCAAAATTTTCAACACTGTAGATCACATAGTTTATTAGTTTCTTAAGACGTCGGTTTGATTGCTTTAGCTTTATAATTTGCCCACGTAGATGTACAATGAATTCCCTGACTGCAGCTTGAAGATGCTGGTTTTGATGTAAATGCAACTCCTTTGTCGGCGTTTAAAAGTGTCAGAGGCTGCAGACAGAAATAGTTTTTGATAGCTGACTAATCTGTGTGTAATTTAGGCATCAAATATTTGAATCCGTCTTTGGTGTGAGCACACCTCCTGCTCACAGCATCGGTTCCTGTTTTAGTTCAGCTTCTCGACTCTGAGTGTCTGTGAATTTCACCCTGACGCGCCTCAAATGAACGATCACCAAAGATTAATAACACTTGTGAAGAAAATCTTTCACTGAATCATTTTTCACTTTAACAAATAACCCGGTTTGTGGTGACTATAAAAAAAAAAGGAACCATTATAGGGTTGACATGTAGACCTGATTATACAAACATAGAAGCTGTAAAACTGACCTGCTGTTGGCTAGAGTGGGTTATTTAACTCTAAACTGACTTTATGTTCTAAACAATTGATTAAACTGCAGGCAACACTTGATTCATGATGAGATCCAAATCAACTTATCAGATTTTGAAATCTCTGTTCTACTTTTCACCATTAAATTAAAAACTGTATTCATTTAAATTACATTATAGTTAGCAACGTTCTGTTTTTGTTTTGGAGATTACGTCATTCCTGCTTTTGCAGCACATTTTGCCGTTTGCTGTGCATTTGGACAGCGTTGGCCACCGTAGAACTTGTAGTTTGGAGGTGGGACAATGAACACTACGAAAACAAAATTTTACCAAATAAATTTGGTTCAGTTTCTATTGCAAATATCTTGGCACACTTAAAATAAGAGAAAACAAACTTACAAGAGACTTTTCAGCAACATGTGGGAGCTTGTTTTAAGTCAATAATTACTTTCTATGTATGAAAATGAAATCATCTGAACATTGTCCCATGTTGGAATTTAAAATGTCTTTATTGTTTCACTTATAACTAGATGTTTTTCATTGATATTAGGAATTGTTGACATTTAAACAACCTATATGTGGCTGAAAAGTTACTTAAAAGTGAACTTATTTGAATGGTACTTAGGTATTTGCACTAGAAACTAGTCCAAAAGTACCTGGTAAGTTGTTGTGTTTTTGCAGTGTAATAAAGAAAAGTTGGGGATCCAGCAGTAGTCCCGATGCACAGATCCAGACTTTCCTCCCCGGGACGTGCAGAAATGACTCCCTGTCAGCAGTGCTGTAACCACTGCTGCCCAGCCGACAGGTTCATCATCCTGGGTGACAGCATATATCTGCATAAGAGCCACGGAGGGCATTCCCAGAGCCAGCAGCTCTGTGTGATCTATCTGCTGGAGTCAGTGCGATCAACCAAAGCAGACTCCCGGCTTTGTCGACGCGCCGCTCACAGTCACATGCCGCTCGTATCTAGCTGGAAAGGTTTCTCCACGGTGCGAGGGGGTAATTATGACGAGATGATTGACGTTCACCTATACAGAACTGGGGCTGATGGTGTCTTCCGTTCAGCCGTGTTCCTGTTTAATTGTCAGCTGGATCGAGGAATGCTGAGGTTTTGACGGTAATGGATGCTGGTAAAGGCGGTGGGAGAGTGACGGATGTGGATGTTTTATAAAGTAGCTTGGCTTATCATCTACCACCTGTAGGCTTTCTCAGGAGGTGTGTGTGTGTGTGTGTGTGTGTGTGTGTGTGCATGTTCCTCAGTCTCTTGGCTCTGAATGAAAACCTTGTAAAAAAAAAAAAAGGATAAAACTTAAAATTTAGGGCACGCCTGTTGTTAATGACAAATGAAATGCCTGCCTTTAATTGTGTCAAAGCTACATGGTAACATAACTAAACGTCTTTGATGAAATTCTTTCAAATTCATCCCTCCTCATTAACGTCATACTTAGTGGTTTTTCCCATTAAGAAACCCATTCAAAGGTTTTGATCAGTCTATTCAATTTAGTGAATATGGATATTAACCTCATGTCTCTTCAGGAGTTGGACCTCTCCCCTCAGCTACAAGGAGAGGCGATGGGTCATACTGACACAAATATTTGGGTTAAACGGGTTCCACCTTAACTACATTCTTCCTGTTCAAGCTTCTGGTTGACTGAACATTTCACCAATCTTCTTGGTAGTTGGTAGATTTTTTATAAATTCACCTATTGATCCAGTCTCATACCTATTTGGCATCATGTTCCAGTTGGAAACCCGTCTGAGTCCACTTTCATACCCGTCCTACTGTCAGAGGTGAAGTTTGAATTTGGAGGCTCACTTTGTTCCTGGTTACTCCATTGGACCAGCACCACCGTCCCTCAGCATGACTCTGCCAATACCCAGTCAGCCCATGTTGATGATAAACTGGTTTTACTGTTGATGGTGACACTGGTCTTGCAAGCAGTTTCCAGTTCATGGCCCACTTGAGTCTTGGCAGTTTCCTGAATATCCTCACAATAAATGTAAAATTGCAGCTATGTTGTCAAATTGTTCAACTCTACATATAGAAAGTCAAAATAAACCATAAAAAGGATGAAATTCTTATTTTCCAAGGTCGTGATGCGTTGATGTAAAGCTCTGCTGGGAGGTCTTTAGAGGAAACACTCTGCCTTTGATTGGCTCATAAAGGTTCTTGTAGTGAATAAAAGATCCCCTGTGGTTGTTAACAAGGTTAACCATTTAATTTTAACTACGGGCTCCGTGTTAAAGAAAATAGATGCTACTCTGACCCTTTAATTAGCCTTTACTAGGCCTACTTTAGGGATGTGAAGACATTGGCTATAGTACCATACCTCACATAGATTTTGAATCCTATTAGATCCTCTCTTTTTATCATTTCTAAAAGCAAAAATACTTTTATTGTTCTCTTAAACCTTGATCTTTCCTGTTAAATGCTCCACACTGGAGATTTGTCTTGTATGCAGACAGAAAGTTGGTTCAAAATGTAGATCTCAAACCAAACAGAGAAAAAGGAGTGGATTGTGAGTTGTTGAATAAAAACCCATCAGCAGCAGCTTGGGAACGAATGTCTGAAATAACTGCTGGGGGAAAAAAAAAAAACATGTAGTTTCTATTAATGATCTGTAAACATGACCTTTTAAGAGAGCAAGGCTGCTTTAGAGAGGAGTTCCCAGGCGGTGGGAGCTGTGCTTTGGGGAACTACATTCCCCCTGTTGCTGCCTATAGATGGCTTGCGATCAATAAGGAAGAAATGTATTTATTGACAGCTTACCAAGGCCACTGTGTTAACGGAGCGTCATGTGGAGCAGCGCCAACAGAAAGCTTCACATTTAAGAGAAACGCATCAAGGTTTAAAAGTTTAACACCCGCTGAGGAATCAACAACAGGCCCCATCTGTGAGCTTGACCCAAAAATATTTCCTCCCAAAGATCAAGAACACAGCCTCTGATGCTGTAAATGCTCATGTCTCTGGTTTCAATTCATTTAATTAATGTTGGTTAGTGTCTATTAATGCTTCATAACAGGAAGCATAATATTTTTTTATTTAGTGGCTCATTTTAATGATGTAGCTTTTGGATTATTGTTGTTTTTACATGTAAAATCAGATTTTAAATGATGCAGATTTATCTTTAAGAAGTGCAAGATTGGCAGCGAGAATGAGAGTTTTGATAAGTTTCTATTATTGGCAAATGTAATGTCACTGAGTTTATAAAAAAAAAAAAAGAAGTATACTGTGTGTAGCATCCTGTGTTAGCTATTAGCATTGCAGCACAGAAACAGAGGGCCTCGTGTGTGTTTTCTACAGATTATGCCTTTAATCTGAGATTTCCTAAATGTTACAAAGATTCCTAAATCCAACATTTTCCATAACAGACCAAAAGCTGGAAGCTCAAAAGTTGAAAAACATCAGCTTTTCCTGAGCCGCCTGTTTACGCTTCAGTGTTGGTGGCACACCTCGTTCTGAAAATACTGAACGTTGAGTCTTCTTCCCCAAGTAATGTCTTCCACACCAAAGAGTGTTAGCTTCACTACTTAGTTTCTGACCAGCTCGTTACATCGCCGCTGATGCCTGCTTCAGAAGATCTCATTTTGGCAGGAAATTATTCTTATCAGCACATTTCTGTTTTTAATTTACAATTTAAGCTCTGGATTCCTAAAATGAAGTATGGCAATGTTAACAAATGGATACTAACGCTAATTTGTTGTAATTGTGTGATATGTTCAGGGTTTTGACAGATAACTGCAAATTACGGGAATTAGACTACAAACAAATATGTTATAAATCTCAAGTGTTATAAAACACTTGAGATTTTGAGTTTATTGGTTTTGCACGTTGACTCGTCTGCGTGCAACACAAGCGCCGTCTGAAGCTCCTGAAGAGCTTCGTTTTCTAAACTGTAGTGGCATTTTTGACAGCAATTATTTTCAAGCAGTGCAGCATAAAATTACAAATTAAAATTCCTTCAAATAACATGACAATTTTTCTGTTTGTCTGATTGTTCTGTTTTTTTTTTTTTTGTGAATGTCCTGAATTCCTGTGATTTTTTTTATTAAATTCACTTGGATAAACTCTGAAAGTCTTTCTTCTGTTTGACGAAGACAACTGCAAATGAACCTCAACACATTTTGACGAGCGAAACGGGCCGAACGTCTCCTGTCTGACATCAGACTCATCTTCTTCTCTTTTTTCTATTCCCTGGTTTTCATAGTTTTTATTGTCATTACTGAGCGGATCAGCAATTCCTCACAAATGTCTTTTTTTCTTTTGCGTTTTGTCACAGGTAAACGTTTCAGGCCTCATTACTGTCAAGTTACTAAAGCAAGACAAAAACCGGGACACATCTGTAAGGGAGCAAAAACTTTCCACCACAACATCAACATTTCTGCTTTTTATGTTCTGAATTACCATTTTCTCAAAGGCACATTTTACTCCGAGTGTGTATGGATTAGTGGAAACTTAGCAGACAAATATTATGCCACAAGGGAAAAGACAATTTATTGCATTGGGGGATTAGTTGGCTGCCTGCTTGGGTCGCTCTGTATTTGTCAGGATAAATATTACCGGTGTCTGGAGGACAGGCGGGCGGCTGCCGTCACTGCTTCACTCCTCGCCATGCTTGAGGAGCCGCTCGCTCTTTCACCAAGTCATTACCGTAACCCTACAGGAGGAGAAGTCACGCACAGAGACGACTTCCTGAGCAGCCTCCCTCATTGGGGCCGGACAAAGCCACCAGTGTGAGGGTTATTTCAGGTCGCTGCCTTCGCCTGTTTAGCATGGAAATCGTTACTTGAGCTCACTTTAACCGACTTAATTGCCCTGACACCTTCCAGTCCCCCCTGAATTTATCATTCTCATCCAAGTCCAGGGAGTGCAACTAAAGCAATAACGTCACCTAGGCCAAACCAATAGCTTATTGATTGGCACCCTATATAGTAAGAGACACATCTTGGCCGTAATAGAGTGGGACAGTAGAGTTTGTCAGAATGGGGGGTGGGGAGCTACTCTGCTCTTTTCTCTCCCTCTCCAAGTTTCCAGGCCTGAGTTAATGAGAGGCAAAGGTTCTTCTCCACACATTTCTAATTGTCCTCATGTCGGCATGTGAAATGGGTGAGAGTAGCAATTTATTGGGTAAATCAGCTTAGGAAGAATACTGGTCAAGGACTGCCAAGCCACCGAGGAACCACCAACTGCCAGCTACATCATTAGCCTGCGACTCCTCATGACCCGCTATCTGTGATGTGACCTGCAGCGATAGCTCGGTCCCCATGGTGTCCTTTTCTGCTGGGACAGCAGTTTCTTTATTGTGCGCAAGAGACGAATACATGTTTGTGTGAATGAGTTGTCAAAAGTTTGTAGAATTCAGTGTTTCGCTCCAACCAGCAGATGGTTGATGTTGCTTCAGGAGCAATGAGGCAAAATGAATTTTATATCAATTCCTTCATCTGTTGAGGGATATTTAAAGACAAACTTCCAAATTAATTTTAGTTTTGGAATTTAAATAAGGTTAGACAAATGTCCACTCATCCTATTCATGCCAACACAGAGAGAAGTCGTCTCATCAGGTTAACGTTTAACCACACACAGCATGCTTAAAGGCCACTCAATAGCAACTTCCACCTTGAAGAGTGTTGTTTCTGCAACCTGTTAGTAGTTTATGTGGGAGCCGTTTACTGACTGGAAACAGATCAGCTTCAAGCAGTCGAGCAGAAAATTGGCCACTGGCGTCTACAAGGCCATTCCACTGCATCTCGGACACAATCAACATTTTTACAATTCATTCCGAGAGTGTTCTGCTCCTTCCTCTTGTCTTCTTTTACAAACAGACCGATTGTCTGTCTGTGTGTGATTTTGCAAAGCTCTGATACTTGTAGCTTAGCCAGCCTGGCTGCTTTGTTGTTGTGTTGCTCTGTGAAGCTTTGTCTGCAGACAGAAAGCTGCATTGTGTATCTTTTAAAAAAAATATGTTTCATAAATATTTGTTACGACCGTCACCGAGTCCAGAGAGTATATGAGACAAAGACCCTCCTCCTGTTTCTGATTGGATGTTTCTGGCTAGAGGCATTTCTAATCTGAGAGAGGAGGTGGAGGAACTCAATTTGTGAAAAAAATAAAAATGACCTGCCTCATGTTACCCTGCCAGGACACAGTGACGATTTTAACAAATATGTAAAAAAACACCCTTGTTAAAGACGGAGTTGATTGTTGCCATCTTTTCTTTTGCTTGAATCTGTTTTTCATAGCATTAAATTAGAATATTATTGAAAAGTTAATTTACTACAGTAACTACATCACCAAGTGAAACATGTTAATAATTAGACTGATGTTTAAACACCTTTACTTCTCTTAATAATGAATTCTAGCGAAAAGTTAATGAAAATACGACATTTAAAATTAGACTATTACATCAGACCAATCAAACTTCTTTAAAAAGAGAAGTATGGGCTTAATGAAAAGTATGTTTAATATCCACTTGAAGGTTATTTTCATAATGCACTTTTTAATTTGAGGAATGAGACTCATTGGGACGCATGTTTTAATTTACTGAATATGACAGTGATTTTTCTATTTGTGATTTCACTATGAGATGTCACCACATGTCACACAGGATTTGCCTGTCGATGCATATCCTACAAAAACAAAATTAATTTCTTCTGTATAAATACACAAATATAGATGCATTCTGACAGCGAGGTGTAAAACGATGAAATATCAATGAAGCTGTCACACTGCCGTTTGTCTGGCTCTCTACATTCAACTTTGTTTTTTTTTTTGTATTTTTTTTCTTTATGAACAATGAATGTGAACGACCAACTTTTAAAGATCTATAAAACAGCTTTTAAACTTCCAAAGTGACGGCGATAAAAATGATGGAGGAACCCGCTTTAAACATCTCCCTCCGTTTGGCTGCGTCTCGGTGGGAAAGTTGCCCAGTTTGTGTCGAGCCGAACCGACGGATGAAAAGAGACAAGTTCTAGCAGCGGCTTGGCAAGTAGTCATGTAAATTTGTTTTCAGCACGAAAGAAAGGACTCTGGTTCTGTCAGAACGGAGATTTGGACCACCTCCTGCATTTGTAGGGAAGGTAGGGAGGCTGATGGAAGCAGCCACTGATCTGTGACAGGCGGCGACAATGAAACGTATCCCTGCATCACAAGCCTGCATGTGAATGGCGAGAGCTGTTATCCTTAAATTGAGAAGACCAAATATGCATAATGTAGCGCATTGTCTGCTGGGCAGATTCATTTAGTGACACAGCGCAGCAACAATGGATGAACAAGTCAAATTCAGACATTAGCACATTGGCAAACAATGGGCTTGTTGAGAAAAGGTAATGGAGCCAGCAGAACCGCACAAAGGATGGAGATAAAGGGACATTGCTGTGAAAATGTAAAAGCATCGAAGCCTCCAGTCATGGAAAGGACACCCGGAAGCAAGAATGAGAAGGGAGATTGGGTAGATAGAAATGTTGTTCTGATTAATGTCTTCAACTCAAAACAAATGGAATCTGTTCTGGAGAGGAAATGAAGAAAAATAACCCAGACTTTATCTCTTCCACCAGCAGCACAGCACAAAGAGTTTGGTCCGTTGTGGACATGAAGCAACAAATCTGGCGTCTGTGACGTCCTCTCTCAGGATGTTCACCATAACAGAGACGTCAAAAAAAAAAAAAAAAAAAATCTGCTGTTGGTTCAGCCTGACCTGCTGCTGCAGCTCCGGTCATTCAGAACAACCTTCTGTTAGCTTGGTCTGCACAGCGTTAGCTGGAACCCTACAGGGGACGAGTTATCAGCAGCGAATCATCTGAAAACAGAGAGGAAGTGAGGTATAGTTAGCCTAGCATCTAAGCTAACTTGAACAAAATCCCTGAGCATAGCGAGACGAATGTTTACATTTCAATTCAAATGAACTTGATCACAAGGGAAATTTAACATGATCGTAACTCGTGTCTTCAGTGAGTCATTATGGACGGTGATGCTGTAGACAGGAAGGATCTCCAGTAACAGTCAGTATTACAGTGCATCTGGAGACGCCTCTGACTGAAGACTGTTGCTGTATGTCATATCCAGGCAGCAGAGACAATATTCCACAGTAACATGCTGGATGACACCAAGCTCTGCTCATCCACCTCATTTGTTTTTGCCGGTCGTTTGGCCAGGAAGTCGGGCAGAGAGGCGCTGGAATCGGGGAAATGATCATCTCCTTGCTCCATTGCTGGTTTTTGAATTTTGGCTTTTTGGTTCTTTATATTTTGTAGCTTTCCCACAAAATCTTACATTTTTGCTTTTTAGTATATTGGAGTGATTAGTGTTCATTTGAATTTTCATAGTTAAGTATGAGAGGCTGGTCAGACAGACACAGTTTGATATTAAAGTCTAACTTGATTTGAAAAGCATTTTATTTGCAGCATAGAAACATCAAAACACACACAAACAATTTTGACCTTATTTATGTTACTAAGTATTGGGTTGTCAAGTTTTTATAACTTTTTTTTTCCCTTGAAGGAACCCAGATATAATGTACATAATTTTAGCATCTGATACATTTTTAACTTTAATCAATGTACTTAAATTACAGATAAAATGTTTTTGTCTTCTAGAGTCTCAGAAGCTCCATTTTGATGAGTCCTCCACCTGTGAGGACAGAACCTGGACCTTTATTAAAATAATATAGAGAAGTAAAATAAAAAAAAGCAACTCTTTGTGCTGTTATTGCTCTTACTGTTATCTGCTTTGTGAATCTGGTGCAGAAAGAACCAGACTGCTGCTCAATGATTTCCTTCCAGAGGTGGTTGTGCAGAAACAAAAAGCGTTGTGGCGTAATCCAGACCAGATGAGGAAACGCTTGTGGGTTAATCACTTTGACCCATTTGTGTTGAACTTTATTCAGCTGCACACATCAGTAAAGCTGCTGCTTCCGAAACCTGCTGCTGTGGAAAAGCAAGAAGCAAACAAATATCCTGAACATAATATATCCTTCACAATCACAGGCGAAGCCCTACGAGTTTAAACATCTGCATAATTTTGAATTTCTTGCCCACTCATAATTTGCACAGTGTGATTTGCTAAGCGCTCCCAGGTGAATGCGCTGTTGGAAATAGATGTACTGAATGCAGATTATACACTCAGGTCCATAAAGAGGGCTGGATGCAGTGAGGACTGTCTGCTCCATCCGGTTTTCCCCTTTTCTTCGGTTCTGTGGAAACCTGCTGGAGTCAGTCATGCATGTCTGGCCTCTTCACTGCAGATCAAAGCATGGCTGGTTGTGTGGAGCTGAAGAGGCTAATACTGACCACAGCCAATGCAAAGTTTGTCACTGTGCATTTTCCTCTGACTTACAGGGATTTACTTTACACTGTTGAATTTAGAAAGGTTTACTTCGCATTTAGCCCAATTTAGTCTGCTTGTTTCCCTGTCAGT